CTGAATTTCTGAACTTCTGAACTTCTGAATTTCTGAATTTCTGAATTTCTGAATTTCTGAATTTCTGAATTTCTGAATTTCTGAATTTCTGAATTTCTGAATTTCTGAATTTCTGAATTTCTGAATTTCTGAATTTCTGAATTTCTGAATTTCTGTTTTTCTGAATTTCTGAATTTCTGAATTTCTGAATTTCTGAATTTCTGAATTTCTGAATTTCTGAATTTCTGAATTTCTGAATTTCTGAATTTCTGAATTTCTGAATTTCTGAATTTCTGAATTTCTGAATTTCTGAATTTCTGAATTTCTGAATTTTTGAATTTCTGTTTTTCTGAATTTCTGAACTTCTGAACTTCTGAATTTTTGAATTTCTGTTTTTCTGAATTTCTGAATTTCTGAATTTCTGAATTTCTGAATTTCTGAATTTCTGAATTTCTGAATTTCTGAATTTCTGAATTTCTGAATTTCTGAATTTCTGAATTTCTGAATTTCTGAATTTTTGAATTTCTGTTTTTCTGAATTTCTGAACTTCTGAACTTCTGAATTTCTGAATTTGTGTTTTTTTGNNTNTCNGNNGCGATTATTTTGAATAGACAATACCACTTTCATCTTTTACCCCGCTCCTCTCTAATTTTATACCTTTTTTACAGACGCCCGTAAATCTACGAAAGGGGGCATGGGGGTTTTTTTATCAAATCACGTGACTATGTAGGATTTTTGAAAAATGATTAGCTGATTTTCATAGCCAAAGTATTTTTTACGTGACATTTCGAAAAAAAAAAGGAAATTTAGATCTGCTGTCGTTCGTCGGAAGCAATATAGAGTGGATTCAAATGTATTCCCCTCCAAAGGAAAAAGGAAAATATGAAGATTTACCTCCCGAGCTTATATTACCCCTAAAACACCCAGCCCTCAAAAGTATTTTCAGCACTTGAATAGTATTCTTCCGGTTTTTTTTTCGGTTTTTGATACCCAGTTCTCCCTGAAGTATATTATCATATAATTTTATAATTTCAATTCAGAAAAAACTCTTTAGTGCCAAGCACCGACATAAAATGGGCTAAGGCAAAAACGGGTAAAAATGTTGAAGATTCTAAACAGAAATAAGCTCAGCACTCAGCAAATTTTCGGCACGCCAGGGCACAGAGGGGCACAGAATCCGCATCCAAACGGCACCGTGCCGCGTTGAAAGTGCCCTTGGAACACCGCACCCGTGCCCCTAGCAAGCATGTGGCGTGCCGCTACCGTGCCGCTGCCGTGCCCTTTCTTGAACCACCTGCGCATATCGTCTCTATCCATAGTTTCGAAAATGTTGCGAAAATAGCTTGTCATTCATTTTCATAAATTTTTGTACTTTTCACCGTTTTATGGCATTTGGTTTTGTTTTTCTAGGCTTTCAGGTGGAAAATCATGAAATATATTTCTGTTTAGTTTTCAGACATTGGCTGTACCAGATGTCCCGTTGGAAGAGACACCGAAGGACAATAGGTGAGTTGAGAGATGTTCAAGTAATAATGATGTCGGAAATCTTTTCAGTTATAAAAGACGAGAAGGGAAGTCGTCAAACCGTGGGGGATACTGAAGAAGAAGAAGATATTTTACGACCAGCAACGATGAATATTCCAAATTAAATATATAAGTGGGCAGATGTGAAAAACTGAACTATTTTGAAATGACAGTGTTCAAAAAAATGTTCGAAAGGTTAATGTTAATCCCTATGTTTTACAGTTCCGCTGATCTTCGGTGAAAAGGTGCCAGACAACTTCCGATAGATTTTCGGGAAGACAATTCGTCCAAAGAAATGTGAGTTTTCATACAATTAGTTATGTAAATAATCTTTAAAGTTCTTTCAGAAACACCGTGCCAAGCCCAACGCCAATAAAGCTGGAGAAGAGGAGTAGGAAAGTAACTTTCATCGAAATTCGACATCTTCGACACAATCTTCTCTACAGATTTAAATGATCGTTTTTCTTTCTTTTTTTATTACTCTTTTTTTAGTATTTGTATTTGAATAAACTTTTCAATTTAAGGAAAATCTCGTGATTAATTGATCTGATTTTGAAGAAAGAATTAAAAAAAACAAGGCACACATGAGCACGGCAACGGCACGGCAGCGGCACGCAAAATGCACGCGTGCCCCAACCCCCCGGGCACGATTACCGCGTTGCAGCGGCACCGGTGCCCCAAGTAGCGGCACATGTGCCAAAAATTTGCTGAGCACGCTCAACCGGCGGAAACCTAAAAACAAAGAACCCTGAATGTGTAACAAACCCTTGATGCTACTTTGAAAATAATACATTGAAAATCAAAATTGAAATTCAAAATTTTCAATGAAGATAAGCTAGACAATAAAAGCAAAACATAGAATTCCAAAAATAAATTTTTAGAAGGATGAAAAATCCCAAAAAATACCCTGAATACCTTTGAAGAGGAACATATTCCTTTCTTCTGGTGATACTTTTGTGTCACAAGTTTTTTAAAAATCAATTTTTTCACATTTTTGGCTGAAACCTATGTTTCTATGTTCGGATGTTCGGAATGACTTTTCGAAAATTTTCGGAATGTCGAAAATTCCGATTTTAAAAATTTCGGAATGTCGGAACCTCGGAATTTTCCGTTTTTTGAAAATTTCGGATTTTCGGAATATCGAAATTTTTCGATTTTCAAAATCTCGGAATATCGGCATTTTAACATACCGTATTTTCTCTAATTGAAGCCCATGGGCTTCTATTTTTCATCCTCCATCTCACAAGGGAAGTGTTTTCAGAGAGGCGTTGAGAATTTGCTCAAAATTTCAGTACTGATAGTTTGAGATATCCGCAACACGATGACGAAAAAATCTAGGTCATAACCCCATCAGGAAGCTGAAAATCTTCGTCTGAAAATTCTGCCCGATTTGGGCGCGCACTTTCCCCCCTCTCCTATACGCCCTCCGCGCCAGAGGAAAATGTCGGTTGTGTGGTGTAGCGGTAAGAGGGTAACTCATTAGGTGAGACTCCACTGGTTCGAACCCCACTGTGGTTAACATTTTTTTTTGTTTTTTTTTCATACTTTTTTTCAATATTTCGAAGATATAGAGGTACTGAATTTATCAAAATTTTATTAAATAAATCAAAATCAATCAACAGTTGTGATGGTCAATGACAAAATGTTCGAAACAGAATAATTTTTCACAATAGAGACACTTCACAAACGATGTGCTGGAGCAACCATGCATTGTACAATCTCCAGCGACACCTCGTGGAAACAGAAGTTGTGCTGGAGTTTCGAAACTTGCTGGACGGGGCACATCGTATCCAGCTGCAACCCAAGCATATCGGGCCCACTTCTCGAGCTTCGGAGAGCACAGCTGCCGCCAGACGAGGGAGAGGAGCTGTAAACTCATTTTTTGAGCTGTTTGACAAATAGGTAGCTGACCTTCAGAGTTTCATCCCTGGTTTGAAACTTGTAGTTGCTGTTGGTCAATTGGGCATAGTTGGTGAGTGTCTTCACAACTTTCTTGAAGGATCCAAAAATGCCAACAGCACATGGTTGGATACGCCCAGTGCATCCAGCAGGAATCGTCAATAATTTCAACTTGTGGGATGAAGGGGTGACCGAATCGATGGCGGCAGTGTCTTTCCAGCTGTTCCACGAATCTACAATGAGAAGAGCATCCTTCGGCATAGACGAGTCGACATATGTATATGTAATGATTCACTGAACTGAAACTTACTCAAATCCTGTAGTCGTCTTCAAAATTTGAAAGGTGCTGTATTTGTCAAACAGCTCAAAAAATGAGTTTACAGCTCCTCTCCCTCGTCTGGCGGCAGCTGTGCTCTCCGAAGCTCGAGAAGTGGGCCCGATATGCTTGGGTGCAGCTGGATACGATGTGCCCCGTCCAGCAAGTTTCGAAACTCCAGCACAACTTCTGTTTCCACGAGGTGTCGCTGGAGATTGTACAATGCATGGTTGCTCCAGCACATCGTTTGTGAAGTGTCTCTATTGTGAAAAATTATTCTGTTTCGAACATTTTGTCATTGACCATCACAACTGTTGATTGATTTTGATTTATTTAATAAAATTTTGATAAATTCAGTACCTCTATATCTTCGAAATATTGAAAAAAAGTATGAAAAAAAAACAAAAAAAATGTTAACCACAGTGGGGTTCGAACCAGTGGAGTCTCACCTAATGAGTTACCCTCTTATCGCTACACCACACAACCGACATTTTCCTCTGGCGCGGAGGGCGTATAGGAGAGGGGGGAAAGTGCGCGCCCAAATCGGGCAGAATTTTCAGACGAAGATTTTCAGCTTCCTGGTGGGGTTATGACCTAGATTTTTTCGTCATCGTGTTGCGGATATCTCAAACTATCAGTACTGAAATTTTGAGCAAATTCTCAACGCCTCTCTGAAAACACTTCCCTTGTCAGGAAAATACCAAAAACTGAAATCTCCAGAAAATTTTATGAACAGAAAGAAACACTGCAATAACCGAATAAACGAACTGCATTGTACAAACTGCACTATCTTACAAGGGAAGTACTCGAAGTGTCCCTTCGCTTTTTGTTAGATATTGGTAGCAAAAAATGTCCCTTCCTCGGACTAGCACAAAACAGATAATATAAGGTGCCAATAGGCAGGTTGAGCGGAATGGCAAAACTGTTTGAGTTTTTTCAGAAATAGTGGATCAAGTTCATTCAAAAAAGCATAACTTTGTTCAGAGCAAAGATAAAATTATAAACTAACATATTTCTTGTAGAACAGATTACAGGCTACAAAAAACATAACTACATCTTAACTGTCACATATAACATAAAAGCTCTGAGAATGAAAGATTCAGTTGGTTTAGTTTCTTTAAGTTTAAAAAAATTGAGTTAAAAAAAAGAATTGAGTAAAAAACATTTTTTTTTCAAAAGGCCTCTGTGGGACGTGGGAGGAGGCAAGGATCGTGTTCGACGTTTTCTCACTGAAACCAAAACGAAATGCTCAGATGAAGGAGTCTGCTATTCGGGTACAGAAGTTCAAGGAAGAAAGAAAAAATTTTGGAACTTCGAAAAAGCAAAAGAAGGTGATCCTGAATATGACGATGCTCAGGTATTTGTGAACTTGGTCAAGACAGTAACCTGAGTTTCCATTATCATTATTCGTTGATTATTCTCACGTATGAAGTAATGGTTACAACTTACGAAACTCGTATCATTGGATTATTAACAGTCTGAATTGGCGGAATCATTTCTAGAATCGGCGATTGGTTATCAATGAGGTCGCTTTGAATTCGAAGACGCCGAAGATTCGGGTAAGTTCCAGCCATCTTCCATTTTTGAAGGAATACATCCAAATCATGATTGTTAAACGAAGAATTTTCTAGTTCGATCCGAACACAGGTGCAATCCAGTAATTGATCGATGATGAACCAGGAAGCGTCAGTTATATTGATCTTCCTTGGATACTTGACAAACTTGAAATGGAAATCTGGCGGAAAATTCAAAAAACAATTGAATTCTTCAGTGATATTCATCTGGCTCAACATTGGCATAAAATTGACAACATCTTGCACCTCTTCAACATTTCCAATCCTAAATCTTTCAATGTCCATGTTCCTATCGACCAAAACTTTTGCTACTTTAGAAACATTAGCAACAGTTCCAAACGTGATTTCCAGCAATTTAACAATGCAGATCCCAAGAGTGTCGAGTAGATAAAAAAACAAATCGACACCTCCTCCGTTTGGAAATTCGATATCCATGTAGTTACTGTATCTTCCAAGCGTTATTTGAAAATAGTCTTCTGGGTTATCAGTTTGATTGAAGTTGTAATTTGAACCATCTACCCATATAGTTATCACGTTCCCTCCCCAGTAGGTGATCTTCCAATTCTTTGTTTCTCTCAACGTTATCGATCTTTGAGAAAGTTGTTTGGAACACTTGGATAGTCTGTATCTTAAAATATATTTTTATTATATTAATAGTAAGTCACAAGAAATACTTACAATTCGAATGGGTCGCAGAGTCTGAAGACTTCTCGAAGAAGGTCGTTTGGGAACTTGAGGAGAGCAATGGGCATCTGAAAACCATTCAGTGTTAGAAAATTCAAAATTTGAAAGAATGTGAGAAGAAAACGAGGCTTGTAGGTTATGAAGCAGAAACAAAGGAAAAACGAGAGTGTAGTTCTCAGGCGAGATCACAGAGAAAGCGAGAAGTCGGGAGAGAAACGAATGGGGAAGGCAAACCTATTTTTCTTCCAATTTGCCAAAATTTATCTCGGTTAAACTTTTTGAGAACGTTTCACAATTTTTATCAATTCGAACATTTCCAGAAATGCCAGTTCCACTCCTCAACCTCCCCACCGATCTTGTTGAAGAAATATTCAATCTCTGCAATCCTCTCCAATTGTAAGTTCCAATTTCTAGTCATTTCATGAGAAAACTGCCTTTCAGATTCGTCCTATCCAGTTGTTCGAAGAGAACTCGAAAACTTGTCAAATCGAAAGTTGCAAACAAATGGAAAATCTCGAGTCTCACCTCGACATCGATATATCTGAAGGGTAATCGTCGGGAAGAGTATCGATTCAAAATAGATGAATATCCAAAAAATTGCTACTGTTTGACTGTGTCGATCATGGGAAGTATTCTACACTTAACATATCCCAATGAAGCCGTCGCTCAATTGTTGGAGGATTTGGTGGATGTCTTCGGATGCAGAAGAGCCCCTTTCATAAAAGCCAGCGCCTTTAATGATTTCGAAAAATTCTTGGATTTATGCCGTGTTGTAATCAAGAAGAACTTGGAAGTGAGACGGTTGGAACTGGATTGCAAGAATAAAGACATGAGTGGTTTTATAGGATTATGGAAACAGATGAAGATCTCAAAGATTCACATTTCTCATTCCTTCTGGGTCACTATAGATCAACTCTTGGAATGCACATCTGTTAAAATCGAATTGGAAGATTCCGA